ACCACACAACCACACACTTCTATACCACACAACCACACCACACACTTCTATACCACACAGCCACACACTTCTATACCACACAACCACAAACTTCTATACTACACAACCACACCACACACTTCTATACCACACAACCACACACTTCTATACCACACAACCACACACTTCTATACCACACAACCACACACTTCTATACCACACAACCACACACTTCTATACCACACAACCACACACTTCTATACCACACACACAACCACACACTTCTATACCACACAGCCACACACTTCTATACCACACAGCCACACACTTCTATACCACACAGCCACACACTTCTATACCACACAGCCGCACACTTCTATACCACACAGCCACACACTTCTATACCACACAACCGCACACTTCTATACCACACAGCCACACACTTCTATACCACACAACCACACACTTCTATACCACACAACCGCACACTTCTATACCACACAGCCACACACTTCTATACCACACAACCACACACTTCTATACCACACAACCACTCACTTCTATACCACACAACCACTCACTTCTATACCACACAGCCACACACTTCTATACCACACAGCCACACACTTCTATACCACACAACCACACACTTCTATACCACACAACCACACACTTCTATACCACACAACCGCACACTTCTATACCACACAACCGCACACTTCTATACCACACAACCACACACTTCTATACCACACAACCACACACTTCTATACCACACAACCGCACACTTCTATACCACACAACCACTCACTTCTATACCACACAGCCACACACTTCTATACCACACAACCGCACACTTCTATACCACACAACTACACACTTCTATACCACACAGCCACACACTTCTATACCACACAACCACACACTTCTATACCACACAACCACACACTTCTATACCACACAACCGCACACTTCTATACCACACAGCCACACACTTCTATACCACACAACCACACACTTCTATACCACACAGCCACACACTTCTATACCACACAGCCACACACTTCTATACCAGACAACCACACACTTCTATACCACACAACCACACACTTCTATACCACACAACCACACACTTCTATACCACACAACCACACACTTCTATACCACACACTTCTATACCACACAGCCGCACACTTCTATACCACACAGCCACACACTTCTATACCACACAGCCACACACTTCTATACCACCAACCACACACTTCTATACCACACAACCACACACTTCTATACCACACAACCACACACTTCTATACCACACAGCCACACACTTCTATACCACACAACCACACACTTCTATACCACACAACCACACACTTCTATACCACACAGCCACACACTTCTATACCACACAGCCACACACTTCTATACCACACAACCACACCACTTCTATACCACACAACCACACCACTTCTATACCACACAGCTACACACTTCTATACCACACAGCCACACACTTCTATACCACACAACCACACACTTCTATACCACACACCACACCACTTCTATACACACAAGCCACACACGTCTATACCAACACAGCCACACACTTCTATACCACACAACCACACACTTCTATACCACACAGCCACACACTTCTATACCACACAGCCACACACTTCTATACCACACAACCACACACTTCTATACCACACAGCCACACACTTCTATACCACACAACCGCACACTTCTATACCACACAGCCACACACTTCTATACCACACAGCCACACACTTCTATACCACACAGCCACACACTTCTATACCACACAACCACACACTTCTATACCACACAGCCACACACTTCTATACCACACAGCCACACACTTCTATACCACACAGCCACACACTTCTATACCACACAACCGCACACTTCTATACCACACAACCACACACTTCTATACCACACAACCACACACTTCTATACCACACAACCACACACTTCTATACCACACAACCACACACTTCTATACCACACAACCACACACTTCTATACCACACAACCACACACTTCTATACCACACAACCCCACCACTTCTATACCACACAGCCACACACTTCTATACCACACAGCCACACACTTCTATACCACACAGCCCACACACTTCTATAACCACAGCCACACACTTCTATACCACACAGCCCCACACTTCTATACCACACAGCCACACACTTCTATACCACACAGCCACACACTTCTATACCCACACAGCCACACACTTCTATACCACACAACCAACACACTTCTATACCACACAACCGCACACTCTATACCACACAACCACACACTTCTATACACACAACCACACACTTCTATACCACACAACCACACACTTCTATACCACACAGCCACACACTTCTATACCACACCACACACTTCTATACCACACACCAAACACTTCTATACCACACAACCAAACACTTCTATACCACCACAACCACACACTTCTATACCACACAACCACACACTTCTATACCACACAACCACACACTTCTATACCAAACAGCCACACACTTCTATACCACAACAACCAAACACTTCTATACCACACAACCAAACACTTCTATACACCACACAACCACACACTTCTATACCACACAGCCCACACACTTCTATACCACACAACCACACACTTCTATACCACACAACCGCACACTTCTATACCACACAGCCACACACTTCTATACAACCACAGCCACACACTTCTATACCACACAGCCACACACTTCTATACCACACAACCACACCTTAACACACGCACACATTCTATACCAACACAGCCACACCACTGTCTATACCACAAAACCACACACTTCATACCACACAACCACACACAATTCTATACACACAAGCACACACTTCTATAACCCACAACCACACACTTCTATACCACACAACCGCACACTTCTATACCACACAGCACACCAGTCTATAATACCACACACCACACACGTCTATACCACACAACCGCACACTTCTATACCACACAGCCACACACTGCTATACCACACAGCCACACACGTCTATAACCACACAGCCACACTTCTATACCACACAACCACACCACTTCTTACCACACAACCACACACTTCTATACCACACAGCCACACATTTCTATACCACACAACCACAGCCACTTCTATACCACACAACCACACACTTCTATACCACACAACCACACACACTTCTATACCACACAACCACACCGCACACTTCTATACCACACACACCACACACTTCTATACCACACAACCGCACACTTCTATACCACACAGCCACATACTTCTATACCACACAACCGCACACTTCTATACCACACAGCCGCACACTTCTATACCACACAGCCACACACTTCTATACCACACAGCCACACACTTCTATACCACACAACCACACACTTCTATACCACACAACCACACACTTCTATACCACACAACCACACACTTCTATACCACACAACCACACACTTCTATACCACACAACCACACACTTCTATACCACACCACACACTTCTATACCACACAGCCACACACTTCTATACCACACAACCAAACACTTCTATACCACACAACCAAACACTTCTATACCACACAACCACACACTTCTATACCACACAGCCACACACTTCTATACCACACAACCACACACTTCTATACCACACAACCGCACACTTCTATACCACACAGCCACACACTTCTATACCACACAGCCACACACTTCTATACCACACAGCCACACACTTCTATACCACACAACCACACACTTCTATACCACACAGCCACACACTTCTATACCACACAACCACACACTTCTATACCACACAACCGCACACTTCTATACCACACAGCCACACACTTCTATACCACACAGCCGCACACTTCTATACCACACAGCCACACCACTTCTATACCACACAGCCACACACTTCTATACCACACAACCACACACTTCTATACCACACAACCACACCACTTCTATACCACACAACCACACACTTCTATACCACACAACCACACACTTCTATACCACACAGCCACATACTTCTATACCACACAACCACACACTTCTATACCACACAGCCGCACACTTCTATACCACACAGCCACACACTTCTATACCACACAGCCACACACTTCTATACCACACAACCACACACTTCTATACCACACAACCACACCACTTCTATACCACACAACCAACACACTTCTATACCACACAGCCGCACACTTCTATACCACACAACCACACACTTCTATACCACACAACCACACACTTCTATACCACACAGCCACACACTTCTATACCACACAGCCACACACTTCTATACCACACAACCACACACTTCTATACCACACAACCACACACTTCTATACCACACAACCACACACTTCTATACACACAAGCCGCCACACTTCTATACCACACAACCACACACTTCTATACCACACAGCCCACACACTTCTATACCACACAGCCACACACTTCTATACCACACAGCCACACACTTCTATACCACACCACACACTTCTATACCCACAGCCACACTTCTATACCACACAACCACACACTTCTATACCACACAGCCACACACTTCTATACCACACAACCACACACTTCTATACCACACAACCACACACTTCTATACCACACAGCCACACACTTCTATACCACACAACCACACACTTCTATACCACACAGCCACACACTTCTATACCACACAACCACACACTTCTATACCACACAGCCACACACTTCTATACCACACAGCCACACACTTCTATACCCATTCTATACCACACAAGCCACACACTTCTATACCACACAGCCACACACTTCTATACCACACAACCACACACGTCTATAACCACACAACCACACACACTTCTATACCACACAGCCACACACTTCTATACCACACAACCACACACTTCTATACCACACAGCCACACACTTCTATACCACACAACCACACACTTCTATACCACACAACCACACACTTCTATACCACACAACTACACACTTCTATACCACACAACCGCACCACACAACTCGTGGTGTCCGTGCAGTGCCGTGCCGCTCACCACCGGTGCGCGCGGCCGAACCACGCGGCTCCTCTGGCCGGAGTGCGGCGATTGCGGCGGCTGCTGAGCTGCCGGCAACGGTGGGGAGCGGGGACGGACACGGCACGTCACCCGGCAAGGTGGGCGGGGTGGGCGGGCCGCTCTCCCCCTTCACGTCCTGACGGTCACAGCACCGCGCGGCGCGTTCACGTGCTATATACACTACTATACACTACACTATATACTACTATACACTACACTACTATAACTACGCTACTATCACTACGCTACTATCACTACACGATACTCTCCACTACTATACACTACACTACGCTACTATAACTACACTATATACTACTATACACTACATGATACACTACATTATACACGACTATACATTACACTATCCTCTATGCTATAAACTATGCTATACACCGCTATACACTACGCTTTACACTGCTATACACTACACTATACAATATACAATACACCATACACTCCTTCTGGCTAGCCATTAAACAAAGACGGCCGCCACATCGCGCACCTCCACATGCTCTGCTTCTGCGCCGTCTGGAATGATCTTGCATTCTGGTATTAGGAAGCCACTGGAGCTATGCTGCGCTTTTACATCATTTAGATTGACAAACTCGTTTATTTAGAACCGCTGCTGCTGCTTGTTGTTGTTGTGTTTAGTTTGTTGTCCCTCAATCTTGATTTGAAGCGTTCGTGACTGCAGGAATCCATAGTCTTTGGTTCTTTCGGTAAAGTCACGAAGGTAGAAAAAATAAAGATCACGACATTTCGATGGCACTGCAAGCAATCGTCATCAGGCAGTTCAACGTACCGTATGTACGTACAGCCACGGAACGGTGAAGCACGCACGTGCGTGTGCGCCTGTGTGTGCGCGTGCGTGAGTGCGTGTGAGCGGGGGTGCGTGTGTGTGCGTTGAGTGTGTGTGTGAGTGGGGAGCGGTGGTGCAGCGATTAGCGTGCTTCGCTATGAACCCGGCGACCCGGGTTCGAGTTCGATTCCTGGTCACGGCCAAAACCGGTGACGATTATCTGGACCGGTCCTGGGCCTCCCCTAGGTCGACTCAGCCTCAGATTAGTACCTGGTGCGATGTGTAAAACGTCGCCACTGGGGAGACAAAGGCAGCCGGGCATGGTGCTGGCAACCCACCCCCTTGTGTGCCACAGTTTCCGGCCTTCATAGGCGCTGCTACTCGCTAACAGCGCTTTCCCCGACGATTTGTTGAGGCTACATGGGGGACGTTTGTCTTTGTGCAAGCTCTCACCTCAGGCCCCAGAGGGCCAATGGAGGCCGGGGAGCCCAGGCAGCGCGAGTCCGGCGAGGATGCCACCGGTTCCTCCTTCTCCTCCTTCACCTCCGTGTCTGTGAGCGGTAAAGGCGCAGCCCCTGCAACTGCTCGCTCACAGCTCCTGCAACTACTGGCAGGCAGAAGAGGCTCCCCTACAAGAGGCTCCCCTACAAGAGGCTCCCCTACAAGAGGCTCCCCTACAAGAGGCCCCCCTACAAGAGGCTCCCCTACAAGAGGCTCCCCTACAAGAGGCTCCCCTACAAGAGGCCCCCCTACAAGAGGCTCCCCTACAAGAGGCTCCCCTACAAGAGACTCCCCTACAGGAGGCTCCCTACAAGAGACTCCCCTACAGGAGGCTCCCCTACAAGAGGCTCCCCTACAAGAGACTCCCCTACAAGAGACTCCCCTACAGGAGGCCCCCCTACAAGAGACTCCCCTACAGGAGGCCCCCCTACAAGAGACTCCCCTACAAGAGGCTCCCCTACAAGAGGCTCCCCTACAAGAGACTCCCTACAGGAGGCTCCCCTACAAGAGGCTCCCCTACAAGAGACTCCCCTACAAGAGACTCCCCTACAGGAGGCCCCCCTACAAGAGACTCCCCTACAAGAGGCTCCCCTACAAGAGGCTCCCCTACAAGAGACTCCCCTACAGGAGGCCCCCCTACAAGAGGCTCCCCTACAAGAGGCTCCCCTACAAGAGACTCCCCTACAAGAGGCCCCCCTACAAGAGACTCCCCTACAGGAGGCCCCCCTACAAGAGGCTCCCCTACAAGAGGCCCCCTACAAGAGACTCCCTACAAGAGGCTCCCCTACAATAGGCTCCCCTACAAGAAGCTCCCCTACAAGAGACTCCCCTACAAGAGACTCCCCTACAAGAGGCTCCCCTACAAGAGACTCCCCTACAAGAGGCTCCCCTACAAGAGACTCCCCTACAAGAGACTCCCTACAAGAGGCTCCCCTACAAGAGGCTCCCCTACAAGAGGCCCCCTACAAGAGGCCCCCTACAAGAGGCTCCCCTACAAGAGGCTCCCCTACAAGAGACTCCCCTACAAGAGGCTCCCCTACAAGAAGAACCCCTACAAGAGGCCCCCCTACAAGAGGCTCCCCTACAAGAAGAACCCCTACAAGAGGCCCCCCTACAAGAGGCTCCCCTATAAGAGGCCCCCCTACAAGAGGCTCCCTACAAGAGGCTCCCCTACAAGAGGCTCCCCTACAAGAGACTCCCCTACAAGAGCTCCCTACAAGAAGCTCCCCTACAAGAGACTCCCCTACAAGAGGCTCCCCTACAGAGGCTCCCCTACAAGAGGCTCCCCTACAAGAGGCTCCCCTACAGAGGCCCCCCTACAAGAGGCTCCCCTACAAGAGGCTCCCCTACAAGAGGCTCCCCTACAAGAGGCTCCCCTACAAGAGGCTCCCCTACAAGAGGCTCCCCTACAAGAGGCTCCCCTACAAGAGGCTCCCCTACAAGAGGCTCCCCTACAAGAGGCTCCCCTACAAGAAGCTCCCCTACAAGAGACTCCCCTACAAGAGGCTCCCCTACAAGAGGCTCCCCTACAGAGGCTCCTCTACAAGAAGCTCCCCTACAAGAGACTCCCCTACAAGAGACTCCCCTACAAGAGGCTCCCCTACAAGAGGCTCCCCTACAAGAGACTCTCCTACAGGAGGCCCCCTACAAGAGACTCCCCTACAAGAGGCTCCCCTACAAGAGACTCCCCTACAGGAGGCCCCCCTACAAGAGACTCCCCTACAAGAGGCTCCCCTACAAGAGACTCCCCTACAAGAGGCTCCCCTACAAGAGGCTCCCCTACAAGAGGCTCCCCTACAAGAGACTCCCCTACAAGAGACTCCCCTACAAGAGACTCCCCTACAATAGGCTCCCCTACAAGAAGCTCCCCTACAAGAGACTCCCCTACAAGAGGCTCCCCTACAAGAGGCTCCCTACAAGAGACTCCCCTACAAGAGACTCCCCTACAAGAGACTCCCCTACAAGAGGCTCCCCTACAAGAGGGCCCCTTACAATAGGCCCCCCTACAAGAGACTCCCCTACAAGAGACTCCCCTACAAGAGACTCCCCTACAAGAGACTCCCCTACAAGAGACTCCCCTACAAGAGGCCCCCCTACAAGAGGCTCCCCTACAAGAGGCTCCCCTACAAGAGACTCCCCTACAAGAGGCTCCCCTACAAGAGACTCCCCTACAAGAGGCTCCCCTACAAGAAGCTCCCCTACGAGAGACTCCCCTACAAGAGGCCCCCCTACAAGAGGCTCCCCTACAAGAGGCCCCCTACAAGAGGGCCCCTTACAATAGTCTCCCCTACAAGAGACTCCCCTACAAGAGACTCCCCTACAAGAGGCTCCCCTACAAGAGGCTCCCCTAGAGGCAGGCCTTGGGATCCCCTCTGGAGCATCCCCCCCTCCACTCTCGCATGCCTCCACCCGCGTCACCCCCCCACCACATCACCCCCCCACCCCCGCGTCACCCCCCCCCATCACTCTCCCTCCCACCGCGTCACCCCCCACCCTGCTACAAGAGGCACCTCCCTCTCCCCCCCGCCCCCCGCGTGCCCTCACCAGTGAAGATCTGCTTGTAGATGTCGCTCCACGGTTCTGCTACGTCGACAGCAGCAGCAGCCAGCGCCTCCATGTCCAGCTCCACGTCCTCCTCCAGCTGGCGGGGGGGGGGTGTGGGGGGGGTGGTGAGGGGGGTGTGTGGGGGGGTGGTGAGGGGGGGGTGTGGGGGGGGTGTGGGGGGGGTGTGGGGGGGGTGTGGGGGGGGTGGTGAGGGGGGTGTGTGGGGGGGGTGGTGAGGGGGGGCGCGAGGGGACGACACGCGACACCACGGGACGGCCCGTGACACGCAAGCCCCGAGGTGCGTGAATGTTGGTGTCTCATTGTCCTTCGTGTCAACACCGATGATAGCGATAATTATCTGAACAAACGGCCCTGGTCCTCCCCTAGGTGGACTCAGCCTGAAATGAGTATCAGGATACAAAAGGCGGTCGGGAGTGGTGCTGGTCACCCACCCCGTCATGTGCCGTTCCAGCCTTGAAAGGCACTGCTGCTACTTGCTAACAGCCAAGGCCGTAATTATAATATGTATTGGGGGGGACACATCCTCCCCAATATTCAAATATGCTCAAAATGTCCCCCCCCAATATATTACTAGAAAAACAATAGCGATGCTATGCAAATAAAAACAACAATTTGCTAAACCTTGGCCACAATATCTGGACTTGTCTTCGTTTTAATTATATGATTGTGGTTATGGTTGTACTTTATTAATCCCTAATCTCTGTAAAAACAGAGCAATGTAATACAATACACTATTATACATTATTATAAAAAAAAATTTCAAAGTCCTTCCCATGTGTTAGTGAATTTTTTAATATTTTAGGCAGGAAATTCGTTTTCAAATTTAGATATTTTTCTGGGTTGGGACCGCCAGACACCCTGGAAGATTTGGTCCCCCCCAATGTTGACTCCATGGCTACGGCCTTGCTAACAGCACTTGCCCCTACGGTCTATTAAGGCTACAAAGTGGGGAGGAAATCTTCGTCTTTGTGTTGTGTGTCTATGGGGAGCGGCGGCGCAGCAGTTAGCGCGCCGCGCCACTAAAGTTAAATTTTCGCTCACGTCTACCGACACCGAGGTTGACTCAGCCTCAAGTTATGAATTGGTGTGGTGAGAATCGCCAATGGGGATACAAAGAAGGCTGGGAGCAGTCCTGGCCGCACCACGCCCCTCGTGTGCGCCACAGTGCCGGCCTTCGTAGGCGCTGCTGCTACTCGCTCACAGCCCTTGCCCCAACGGCCTACCTGGGGGACCTTTGTCTGTGCGAGAAGCGGAAGGGGGGTCTATGCAAGATGCGACTGTGGGCCGCCCTCCTTTCTCCCAACTCACTGTGACTGAAGTGGCTACGGCGGAGGGATGTTTAACTCCGCATGCACAGTGATGTACGCAGGCTTTAACTGCTCAGATTTTAGTTCAGTTGCGCCGTGTGTTGGAGTTCAGAGGGAGATGGCTCTCACCGCGGTGGACGACGGTATTCATAGCACACGAAGTTTAAGGTGACAATTCTCACAATCAACGTGTCCTGCGTCTTGCTGTCATGCGCACGTCAGCCGGCAACAACATCCCGGTGCTGCTGTTCAGGAACAAGCAGTGGTGGCGGCAGCAGCGGCAGTAGCGGCTGTTGCAGTCACGAAAGCTTTAAATCAAAAATGTTGGAATTTATTTTTGTCTTCACATTGGTTGTTACTTGTCATTTATATCTGCTTCATATGGGGGCTCCACACCCCCCTTGTGGCCGACGAGGCATACCTATGGGGCAAACACACCCACCCCCGCCAGAGTCGCGCCCCTGCGTGCGAGCGAACGAGTGAACGAGTGAGAGATCGAGTGCATGAGCGAGCGATCGAGTGCATGAGCGAGCGATCGAGTGCATGAGCGAGCGATCGAGTGCATGAGCGAGCGATCGAGTGAACGAGTGAACGAGTGAGAGATCGAGTGCATGAGCGAGCGATCGAGGTCCACGCACCTCCATGTCCCTCTTGAGCGCGCGGAAAATGTCGTTGAGTTCGTTGAGATCCATCTCCTCCTCCAGATCGAAGTTCCCCATCTCTACATAGAGAGACACAGATGCACCCGGGTAGCCTTTAACACAGACTGTTGGGGCAGTGCTGTTTACGTGCACACACACACACAACAGCAGCAACCACCTATCACCAAGTGGCACTGACAGAGGTTCAGATGGTACCGCTCCAGCTCCTCACAGCGGAGTGGCAGCCTCTCATCCTGTGAGCGAGCATTCAAACATTCCACGTGGCCACCCGCAGTAGTTTCCTGTTTATACATTGCACCAGATTCTCATTTGAGGCTGAGTCAACCTACTGGAGGCCCAGGATCGGTTCAGATAATCGTTACTGGTGTTGGTGGCTGTGAGCGGGAATTGAACTTGGGTCGCTTGGTTCGTAGAGCAGCATGCTAACCGCTGCGCCACCGCTCCCCATCTGGACACTCACTCAGTGAAATCCTGGCACCACATCTGTGTGAGTCTATGGGTCTCTGCTTGAGTCTATGGGTCTCTGCTTGAGTCTATGGGTCTCTGTGTGAGTCTCTGGGTCTCTGCTTGAGTCTATGGGTCTCTGCTTGAGTCTATGGGTCTCTGCGTGAGTCTATGGGTCTCTGCGTGAGTCTATGGGTCTCTGCTTGAGTCTATGGGTCTCTGTGTGAGTCTATGGGTCTCTGTGTGAGTCTCTGGGTCTCTGCTTGAGTCTATGGGTCTCTGCGTGAGTCTATGGGTCTCTGCGTGAGTCTATGGGTCTCTGTGTGAGTCTCTGGGTCTCTGCTTGAGTCTATGGGTCTCTGCTTGAGTCTATGGGTCTCTGCGTGAGTCTATGGGTCTCTGCGTGAGTCTATGGGTCTCTGCTTGAGTCTATGGGTCTCTGTGTGAGTCTCTGGGTCTCTGTGTGAGTCTATGGGTCTCTGCGTGAGTCTATGGGTCTCTGTGTGATGCTAGGGTCTCTGTGTGAGTCTCTGGGTCTCTGCGTGAGTCTATGGGTCTCTGCGTGAGTCTATGGGTCTCTGTGTAGGTCTATGCGTGTCTGTGTGGGTATCTGGGTCTCTGTGTGAGTATCTGGGTCTCCGTGTGAGTTTATGGGTCTCTGCGTGAGTCTATGGGTCTCTGTGTGAGTCTATGGGTCTCCGTGTGAGTTTATGGGTCTCTGTGTGAGTCTCTGGGTCTCTGCGTGAGTCTATGGGTCTCCGTGTGAGTTTATGGGTCTCTGTGTGAGTCTATGGGTCTCTGCGTGAGTCTATGGGTCTCTGTGTGGGTCTATGCGTGTCTGTGTGAGTATCTGGGTCTCTGTGTGAGTCGACAGCCAGGCCACGTGTCTGTCCTGAGGCCCATCACCACCGTCAGGCTCGAGATGCAAATCACCGGGGTCTCGGAATCCCCAGAGGAAGTTTGATGTGGAGGCAGCTGTAGTGGTCACATGGGGGAGAGGGGGGGACGAGGGGATGTCGGGGTGTAGCACGTGACCCCACGGACAACACAGCACCACCACCACCGCTACTACAAAGACAAAGATCCCCCGTGTAATCTTTACAGATTGTTGGGGCAAGTGCTGTTAGCGAGCACCTATGAAGGCCGACACGGCACACGAGGGGGTGGGTGGCCAACACCACTTCCGACCGCCTTTGTCTCCCCAGCGGCGATGTTTACACATCGCACCAGGTACTCATTTGAGGCTGAGTCTACCTAGGGGAGGCCCAGGGCCGGTTCAGATAATCACTATTACTGGTGTTGGCCGTGAGCGGGAATCGAACCCGGGTCGCCAGGTTCGTAGTACAGTGCTCATCGCTACACTACCGCTACCACAACCATCACCACCACTACCACAACCATCACCACTACCACAACCATCACCACTACCACAACCATCACCCCTAACGCCACTACCACAACCATCACCACTACCACAACCATCACCACTACCACAACCATCACCACTACCACAACCATCACCACTACCACAACCATCACCACTACCACAACCATCACCACTACCACAACCATCACCACTACCACAACCATCACCCCTAACGCCACTACCACAACCATCACCACTACCACAACCATCACCACTACCACAACCATCACCCCTAACGCCACTACCACAACCACCACCACTACCACAACCATCACCACTACCACAACCACCACCACTACCACAACCATCACCACTACCACAACCATCACCACTACCACAACCATCACCCCTAACGCCACTACCACAACCACCACCACTACCACAACCATCACCACTACCACAACCATCACCACTACCACAACCATCACCCCTAACGCCACTACCACAACCATCACCACTACCACAACCATCACCACTACCACAACCATCACCCCTAACGCCACTACCACAACCATCACCACTACCACAACCATCACCCCTAACGCCACTACCACAACCATCACCACTACCACAACCATCACCCCTAACGCCACTACCACAACCATCACCACAACCACAACCATCACCCCTAACGCCACTACCACAACCATCACCACTACCACAACCATCACCCCTAACGCCACTACCACAACCATCACCACTACCACAACCATCACCCCTAACGCCACTACCACAACCAACACCCCCTAACGTCACTACCACAACCATCACCACAACCATCACCCCTAACGCCATTACCACAACCATCACCACTACCACAACCATCACCCCCTAACGCCACTACCACAACCATCACCCCCTAACGCCACTACCACAACCATCACCACTACCCCCACCATCACCACTACCACCACGACCACAACCATCACCCCTACCACAACCACCACCCCTAACGCCACGACCACAACCATCACCCCCTAACGCCACTACCACAACCATCACCACTACCACAACCATCACCACTACCACCACTACCACCACTACCACAACCATCACCCCTAACGCCACTACCACAACCACCACCACTACCACAACCATCACCACTACCACAACCACCACCACTACCACAACCATCACCACTACCACAACCATCACCACTACCACAACCATCACCCCTAACGCCACTACCACAACCACCACCACTACCACAACCATCACCACTACCACAACCATCACCACTACCACAACCATCACCCCTAACGCCACTACCACAACCATCACCACTACCACAACCATCACCACTACCACAACCATCACCCCTAACGCCACTACCACAACCATCACCACTACCACAACCATCACCACTACCACAACCATCACCCCTAACGCCACTACCACAACCATCACCACTACCACAACCATCACCCCTAACGCCACTACCACAACCATCACCACTACCACAACCATCACCCCTAACGCCACTACCACAACCATCACCACAACCACAACCATCACCCCTAACGCCACTACCACAACCATCACCACTACCACAACCATCACCCCTAACGCCACTACCACAACCATCACCACTACCACAACCATCACCCCTAACGCCACTACCACAACCATCACCCCCTAACGTCACTACCACAACCATCACCACAACCATCACCCCTAACGCCATTACCACAACCATCACCACTACCACAACCATCACCCCCTAACGCCACTACCACAACCATCACCCCCTAACGTCACTACCACAACCATCACCACTACCACTACCATCACCACTACCACCACGACCACAACCATCACCACTACCACAACCATCACCCCTAACGCCACGACCACAACCATCACCCCCTAACGCCACTACCACAACCATCACCACTACCACAACTATCACCACTACCACCACTACCACAACCATCACCCCTAACGCCACTACCACAACCATCACCCCCTAACGCCACTACCACAACCATCACCACTACCACAACCATCACCACTACCACCACAACCATCCCCCCTAACGCCACTACCAGAACCATCACAGCCGCCACCACCACTACCACAACCACCACTACCACAACCATCACCACTACCACCACTACCACAACCATCACCACAACCATCCCCCCTAACGTCACTACCGCAACCATCACAGCCACCACCACTACCACAACCATCACCACTACCACAACCATCACCACTACCACAACCATCACCACTACCACCACTACCACAACCATCACCACTACCACAACCATCACCACTACCATCACCACTACCACCACTACCACAACCATCACCACTTATACCACACACTACCACAACCATCACCACTACCACAACCATCACCACTACCATCACCACTACCACCACTACCACAACCATCACCACTACCACAACCATCACCACTACCACAACCATCACCCCTAACGCCACGACCACAACCATCACCCCCTAACGCCACTACCACAACCATCACCACTACCACAACCATCACCACTACCACCACAACCATCCCCCCTAACGCCACTACCAGAACCATCACAGCCGCCACCACCACTACCACAACCACACACTACCACAACCATCACCACTACCACCACTACCACAACCATCACCACAACCATCCCCCCTAACTTCACTACCGCAACCATCACAGCCACCACCACTACCACAACCATCACCACTACCACAACCATCACCACTACCACAACCATCACCACTACCACAAACATCACCACTACCACCACTACCACAACCATCACCACTACCACCACTACCACAACCATCACCACTACCACAACCATCACCACTACCATCACCACTACCACCACTACCACAACCATCACCACTACCACCACTACCACAACCATCACCACTACCACAACCATCACCACTACCATCACCACTACCACCACTACCACAACCATCACCACTACCACCACTACCACAACCATCACCACTACCACCACTACCACAACCATCACCACTACCACAACCATCACCACTACCATCACCACTACCACCACTACCACAACCATCACCACTACCACCACTACCACAACCATCACCACTACCACAACCATCACCACTACCACCACTACCACAACCATCACCACTACCACAACCATCACCACTACCATCACCACTACCACCACTACCACAACCATCACCACTACCACAACCATCACCACTACCATCACCACTACCACAACCATCACCACTACCACAACCATCACCACTACCACCACTACCACACCCATCACAGCCACCACTACCCCGAACAGCTCATCTCAGGTAACACTGTACAGTAGTTACCCCTGTGTGTGTGTGGTTACCCCTGTGTGTGTGGTTACCTTGTGTCTGTGGTTACCCGTGTGTTTGTGTGTGGTTACCCCTGTGGGGTGTGTGGTTACCCCTGTGTGTGTGGTTACCCGTGTGTGTGTGGTTACCCCTGTGGGGTGTGTGGTTACCCATGTGTGTGTGGTTACCCGTGTGTGTGTGGTTACCCCTGTGGGGTGTGTGGTTACCCCTGTGTGTGTGGTTACCCGTGTGTGTGTGGTTACCCCTGTGGGGTGTGTGGTTACCCCTGTGTGTGTGGTTACCCGTGTGTGTGTGGTTACCCCTGTGGGGTGTGTGGTTACCCCTGTGTGTGTGGTTACCCTGTGTGTGTGGTTACCCCTGTGTGTGTGGTTACTCGTGTGTGTGTGGTTACCATGTGTGTGTGTGGTTACCCTGCGTGTGTGTGGTTACCCTGCGTGTGTGTGGTTACCCGTGTGTGTGTGGTTACCCTGTGTGTGTGTGGTTACCCGTGTGTGTGGTTACCCCTGTGTGTGGTTACCCTGTGTGTGTGGTTACCCCTGTGTGTGTGGTTACCCGTGTGTGTGTGGTTACCCGTGTGTGTGTGGTTACCATGTGTGTGTGTGGTTACCCCTGTGTGTGTGGTTACCCCTGTGTGTGTGGTTACCCCTGTGTGTGTGGTTACCCCGTGTGTGTGTGGTTACCCGTGTGTGTGTGGTTACCTGTGTGTGTGGTTACCCCGTGTGTGTGTGTGGTTACCTGTGTGTGTGGTTACCCCGTGTGTGTGTGTGGTTACCCTGCGTGTGTGTGGTTACCCTGCGTGTGTGTGGTTACCCCTGTGTGTGTGTGGTTACCCTGCGTGTGTGTGGTTACCCTGCGTGTGTGTGGTTACCCCTGTGTGTGTGTGGTTACCCCTGTGTGTGTGTGTGGTTACCCCTGTGTGTGTGTGTGGTTACCTGTGTGTGTGGTTACCCGTGTGTGTGGTTACCCTGTGTGTGTGTGGTTACCCTGTGTGTGTGTGTGGTTACCCTGCGTGTGTGTGGTTACCCTGTGTGTGTGTGGTTACACCTGTGTGTGTGTGGTTACCCTGCGTGTGTGTGGTTACCCTGTGTGTGTGTGGTTACACCTGTGTGTGTGTGGTTACCCCAGTCGTCCACACCCAGGTGGTTGGGGGCTAAGAACGACTCCATGGCTGGAGCCGGCCAGTCCAGAGGGTGACGAGGAGCAGAGGGCGAGTGAATGAGTGACGAGGCGAGCGAGTGAATGAGTGACGAGGCGAGCGAGTGAATGAGTGACGAGGCGAGCGAGTGAATGAGTGACGAGGAGCAGAGGGCGAGTGAATGAGTGACGAGGCGAGCGAGTGAATGAGTGACGAGGCGAGCGAGTGAATGAGTGACGAGGCGAGCGAGTGAATGAGTGACGAGGCGAGCGAGTGAATGAGTGACGAGGCGAGCGAGTGAATGAGTGACGAGGCGAGCGAGTGAATGAGTGACGAGGCGAGCGAGTGAATGAGTGACGAGGCGAGCGAGTGAATGAGTGACGAGGAGCAGAGGGCGAGTGAATGAGTGACGAGGCGAGCGAGTGAATGAGTGACGAGGCGAGCGAGTGAATGAGTGACGAGGCGAGCGAGTGAATGAGTGACGAGGCGAGCGAGTGAATGAGTGACGAGGCGAGCGAGTGAATGAGTGACGAGGCGAGCGAGTGAATGAGTGACGAGGCGAGCGAGTGAATGAGTGACGAGGCGAGCGAGTGAATGAGTGACGAGGCGAGCGAGTGAATGAGTGAAGGGGGGAGACGGCGGGTGAAGGAGGGAGACGGCGAGTGACGAGGCGAGCGAGTGAATGAGTGAAGGAGGGAGGCGAGCGAGCGAGTGAATGAGTGAAGAAGGAGTGAGGCGAGCGAGTGAATGAGTGAAGGAGGGAGGCGAGCGAGCGAGTGAATGAGTGAAGGAGGAGTGAGGCGAGCGAGTGAATGAGTGAAGAGGGAGGCGAGCGAGTGAATGAGTGAAGGAGGGAGGCGAGCGAGTGAATGAGTGAAGGAGGGAGGCGAGCGAGTGAATGAGTGAAGGAGGAGTGAGGCGAGCGAGTGAATGAGTGAAGAGGGAGGCGAGCGAGCGAGTGAGGCGGCGCTAGGGACACGTCAGTGCCGTGCGGCCACCGCTTCCGGGTCGTGACGTCACGCGGTCGAGCCGGAAATAGAGCGCGAGCACGTGACCCGCACATCAACAACAACCGCCATTCGCCACTGGCGGTGACGTCACCACGACGCTTGTGCCAGGCTAAGTGCACGTTGAGGTTGCCACATGAAGTGTCGAACGCCCGCTCGCAGGAGGTCACGGGGCAGACCCAGCAGGTGCCACGGGTCGACTGACTGAGATGACCGAGATGACTGGCTGATGCACCACCTGTGCCCCCTACTGTGCCAACTTGCTGTGCTTTAGCCACCCGGCGCTCCGCTCGTTGTTGTGAGCGTCGCTCCTCCGCCCTCCGTTGTTGTTGGAGGGCGACTGCCTCCAACTGCCCAGTAGCGTCCTTCACGAGCCTCCCCCACAGAGGCCGATCTTGACACCGCTGGTACCAGTCATCGGCAAGTCCACTCAGCTCCACGTCCTCCTGTACCACATCACTCCATCTCTTCTCCAGCCCGTGCCGTGCCCTTTTAGCCCCCTCGATCCGGCCGAACAAAAGCTGTTTAGGCATGCGGTGGCTGGGCATGCGGGCTACATGACCCAGCCAACGCAGCCTTGCCTGCCGGAGGAGCTCACTGATGGGACTTTGCCCAGATCTTTCAAGGATTTGTGAGCTCCTCACACAATCCAGCCTGGTTAAACCCAGGATGGATCGTAGGCAGGCCAGCCTAAATGTTTCCAACTGGCGAAGATGTTCCATTAGGGGTGTCCACGTTTCGCAAGCGTAGAGAAGGGAGGGAATGACCGTGGCCGAGAAGACCTGAAGCTTCGTGCGGAGCGACAGACCAGGTAGCTTCCACACAGCGTTACGCAACCGATGAAACGATATTGCCGCTCGACTGATTCGGAGTGAGACCTCTGGTGTTAAACTGGAGCCAGGTATGGGAAACTCCACTCTCTCCATCACCGATTGGGAGTTGTGGGGGTGGAGCATCCGATGGTACAAAATACCCAGGCAGGTGCTTAGTTTTGGTGGGGCTGATGGTAAGGCCCCACCTTTTAGTGGCACGCTCCAGTCTCAGCAGCAGCGTCTCCAACTCCTCCTTTGAATGAGCAGCTATTACCAAATCATCGGCATACATAACGTTGTTGACCAATAGGGAGCCATCCCTTTATCGCACCCGGGCATCGATCAGCCTCCCATTATATCTATGTAGAGGTGTTACAGGAGGGCGAACAAACACACCAGGAGTGGTTATGCCCGCACGCGGAATGGTACTTACATCCACGTCCGCATCGTTTAGCCCTGGGGGGCTGAAACGACGCTGTGACCCCCCACGGCCCCACCCCTCGGGGGGGGGGGAGTTGCGATATAAGGCGTCGAGCCGGTGGGCTCGGGGTTCAGTGTTCAGCTTAAACCAGTGAAGCAAGAAGACCGGCTAGATAGGCCCTGGGACTCCCCTGGATCGCCGTCCTTCTAAGGACCGACCAGGGCAAGCCAGCGGCGTGGCCCCGAGAGCCCAGAGCCGATGCTCTTGTAAGAGCCGGTCTGGGGACTCAGGGTGCCGTGATCCCAGCTTGGCTAGAGCTGGATCAGCTAGCCTCCCCTAGCTCTGTAGTGGAGGACCTGGGAGTAGGCTAGCCGGGACAGAGATTGTGGGACCTCCCTGTTATACGGGTGAAGGGGCCGATACCCCTTCGAGTGTTGTATACCTTGGCCTGTATAGAGTGGAACGGTTAATAAATAAGTGTGCCTCCGACTACGTCGTCCACGTCTCTCTTGAACCTACTACATCTACACTGGTACACACATACACACACACATACACACACATACACACACACATACACACACATACACACATACACACAAAGACAAAAATCCCCTGTGTAGCGAGCCCCTATGAAGGTCGGCACGGCACACGAGGGTGTGGGTGGCCAGCACCACGCCCGGCCGCCTTTGTCTCTAGTTGCGATGTTTACTACACACCACACCAGGTACTCATTTGAGGCTGAGTCGACCTAGGGGAGGCCCAGGACTGGTTCAAATAATCGTCACCAATTGGCCGTGAACAACAACACATACACAACACCAACAGATACATAACAACACAACACATACACAACGACAACACAACACATACACAACACCAACAGATACACAACAGCACATACACAACACCAACAGATACACAACAACACACACCAACACATACACAACACCAACAGATACACAACAACACATACACAACAACACACACCAACACATACACAACAACACATACACAACAACACATACACAGAAACAACACATACACAACACCAACAGATACACAACAACACACACCAACACATACACAGCAACAACACATACCAACAGATACATAACAACACAACACATACACAACAACACACACCAACACATACACAGCAACAACACATACCAACAGATACACAACAACAACACATACTCTTTGGTTCTTTCGGTAAAGTCACATAGGTATAAAATAAAATTAATCAATCACAACAACACACCAACAGATACACAACAACAACACACACCAACACATACACAACAACATACACCAACACATACACAACACAACAACAAATACACAACAACGACACACACCAACACATACACAACAAGAACACACCAACACATACACAACAACGACACACGACACATACACAGCAACACACACCAACACATACACAGCAACAACACATACACAACACCAACAGATACATAACAACACACACCAACACATACACAGCAACACATACACAACAACACATACACAACACCAACAGATACATAACACATACACAACAACACACACCAACACATACACAGCAACAACACATACCAACAGATACACAACAACACAACACATACACAACAACACACACCAACACATACACAGCAACAACACATACCAACAGATACATAACAACACAACACATACACAACAACACACACCAACACATACACACCAACAACACATACACAACACCAACAGATACATAACAACACACACCAACACATACACAGCAACACATACACAACAACACATACACAACACCAACAGATACATAACAACACACACAACAACACACACCAACACATACACAGCAACAACACATACCAACAGATACACAACAACACAACACATACACAACAACACACACCAACACATACACAGCAACAACACATACACAACACCAACAGATACATAACAACACAACACATACACAACAACACATACACAACACCAACAGATACATAACAACACAACACATACACAACAACACACACCAACACATACACAACACATACACAACAACACACACCAACACATACACAGCAACAACACATACCAACAGACACATAACAACACAACACATACACAACAACACACACCAACACATACACAGCAACAACACATACCAACAGATACACAACAACAACACATACTCTTTGGTTCTTTCGGTAAAGTCACATAGGTATAAAATAAAATTAATCAATCACAACAACACACCAACAGATACACAACAACAACACACACCAACACATACACAACAACAGCATACACCAACACATACACAACACAACAACAAATACACAACAACGACACACACCAACACATACACAACAAGAACACACCAACACATACACAACAACGACACACGACACACAACAACAGATACACAACAACAACACACACCAACAGATCTATCCTGTCTGTGCCCCAATCGTCAGATCCAACTGACCACCAGGTGGTGATCAGTTGACAGCTCTTCCCCTCTCTTCACCTGAGTGTCCAGAACATGCGGCCTTAGGTCCGATGATACAACTATCAAGTCAATTATTGACCTTTGGCCCAAGGTTCTCTGGTACCAAGTACACTTATGAGCATCCTTGTGTTTGAATATGGTGTTTGTTATTGACATTCCAAGACTCGCGCATAATTCCAATGATATCTCACCATTCGGGTTCAGATCAGAGGGGGGGGGGGCATTCCTCCCAATCACGCATCTCCATGTATCTCCATCATTTCCCACGTGAGCATTGAAGTCGGTAGGCAGCAATCTTTCGAGAACCGCACCCGTCCCCAAGAAGGCGAAATACTCTGAACTGCTGTTTGGTGAAGACCCGATGTCTCATTGGGGCAACCCTCTCATCCACTGGCACAAACTCCAACTGAACAG